GTTGTTCCCACCTCTGATGCACCTGTCACTCATTCAAGTGTGCAGGGATTTTTTTTCTCAATATTTTTAACTAAAAGTACAAGACATCAGATGTCCACTTCACAGTAGATTCACTCTAACTGATCACATGCACTTATATGCTTGAGCTAAATGAGGAGTTTACTCCGAGACTAATGTGACATTCACAATTCAAATGTTCTGTATGCAACAGGTAGCACAAGAAGCATAATTTAGCCCTGACTTGGTGCTACTAATTTTCCACATTTTTGAATCACGGAAATGTAAGCATTAATCAATATCACACTTGACATCTGCTCCAAGTTTTCTTGTAAATATCTTGCATATCTAAAAAACAGATACAGGATATCTTATATGTAGATGCTGTCTTCGAGGCCTAACACGGTGAAATCGTCCACTGCTTTTGTACTCCTAGACAGACAGACAGACAGAGTGACAAGTTCAGCAAGATGCCCCCCTTCAACACTCCCATCCACTCCAGACACACACACACACACACACCAGGAGCGACATGACATCTGAGAAGTTCAGGGGTCAAAGGTCACTATGGATTGTTTCAGGTCACAGAAGATGGCTTTTTATGTCCCATGGGTAACTCAAATGTCAGCAGGATTCATGAAGTGTCATGAGGAATCGTTCCAAGCTGCTGGAAAAAGTGTGTTGACACAATAGCGTTTATTTGTGTTGTGTTATTTTCTCTTTGTGTGTGCAGCATGAGGAAAGGAATCACTTCCCAGCAGTGAGTGAAACCACATCTTGAAGTGCTGAACAACACTTACTGTAATTACCGCTGTGTTCAGCCAGGTGGTGATACAACAGCGTCATCTAGTGATTAAGATAGGTCACTGCAATTAGACGTAGCAACACCCATGATGAAGCTCACACTTTTGTTGAGACAGAAACGAGGAGGAAACCAGAGGCTGAAAGTGCATTTTCAGAAATCCTCAATCCTCATGTATTTACTATAGGCGACACATAAAGGGAAACAGATCCAAAAGTTCATACCAATTATGAACAAAATGTGAAAAGACTATCATGCCCTTCATCCATCTTGTGACTTGCCAGAAAACAATTCTGCCACAAACAAAGTCATTTTACATTTCTATAAACCTCTTTTTTTTTTTTTTATTGTCAATAGAATTTGCTAGCGTCGGTGCCCTCATGGAACCTCCCTGGCAAAGAAATCAATATGAGTATTTTTTTAATGCAGAAAGTACATATTTTATTGCATTGCCTCTGTTAAGTGACATAGATCATTCAGGGGGGAAAAAAAGCATAACCCGATGATAATGGTTTATTAAAGAAATGTTTCGTTATTTGGATTTTTTGAAAAACAAGTATCAAATTTTACACGCTAGAGCAGTGATACTTAACCTGGAGCTCTCGAACCACATGTGGCTCATTTGGGACTAGTTGTGGCTCTTTTAGGTCCTACTTGGAGAAAAAAATCCAAAGTAATTATTTAAAAAAGGGAGACATTGTCAGCAGAAATTGTTCTTTGCAAGTCATCTCACTGTGTTTCCCACATATTTCAGGGAAGAAAGATGTGGCTCTTAAGTCTAACAACCACTACACTAGAGATAATGTTTTAAAGGTGATATCTTACACTTTAGGTTGTGTGTGTGCGTGAGTGAGTGTGTGTGTGTGTGTGTGTGTGTGTGTGTGTGTGTGTGTGTGTGTGTGTGTGTGTGTGTGTGTGTGTGTGTGTGTGTGTGTTTTATGATAGTAGCCCTCTCTTTAGATGTATTTTGAAAAAAGGCCACCCAAAAACAAAACCGCCAAAAAGTATTAATAGCACAGTGAAAATCTTAATTTGCTCTGGCATTTAACTCAATACTTATCATCTCAAACATTGCTGTTATTTTAAACAGTGACATGGCTTTTTAGCTCAAGAGCCACCATCCAACACATAGCCATCCACAGCAGGTCAGACAATAAAACATTGCCATCCAGTGGTTACAATGAAGTCTGCTCTGAGTTGCTATCCTGAACTATTGAGATATGGAAATAAAGATTAATGGGAAATAAAAATAAAGACATATCTTAGAGGTTAAAGGTATTATTGCCACATCACTTTATCTATCTTTATAAGACAAGCCATTTTTTCTTCATCGCTCTTCCTCCCCTCAAATTTGGAACAACATTGTCATAACTGCAGCAGGTTGCGTTTAGGTTTAGCCTCCCACAGAACTGTGATCAAGTCTTTCATATAAATAACTGTTTAACATGCACAGACATATTGATAGATACTTCTATAAAGCAAACATTTTGAAGACATGGACATCAGTCTGCTAATGATGAATCCGAATCCAAGGCAATATTTCAAAGCTTTACTGTCTAAGGTTTTTCTGACTTTTGTAATATTTAGTGTTCCAACTGAACAACAACACACACACACAGGACAACACACATTCTGTGAAAGATATCTCTATGTTTCAAAACAACCCAAAAGTCTCTGAATTTACAGAGGTCAGTTGTATGCATGCTTGATAAAAGTAATATACTTTACTGTGGGACAACGGACTAAAAATAGGCCGACACTTTATATCTATATTTATAGCAGGTGAGAGCTTCAACCACCAGAGGCCGACAGACACAAGAGTTTTATCTGTCGTTATATTTACTGACACTAAACTGTAGGAAATAACTGCTTCTTATTTCACTCAGAAAGTTTGATCATTTCCAACAAGGCAATGTCTTGGACTTTTTCTATTGTCAATAAAGTTGTACAATTACTGCTGTTTCAACTCCTGCATATGAGGCGAACGTTCATTTACAAAAAAAAAAATTAATTTAAGAAAAAGCAGAAATTGCTATTTATGCCTTTGAAGCATTTTTCTTCAGGTCAAGTTGGCCCTTTTTTAAAATCATCATTTCAGTTTGAATTCCTTAAAGAACCAATCAGTCTCACTCCTAATTGCTTTTTTGGTGATCTAATTTTTATTTAAAGTTGTAATGAAAGCATTTTTCCACTAGGTGGCAGTATATGCATTTGTACTGTTTACACTTCAGGTAGCCCTGTCTATAGCCCTGTTATAGTCTGACCCATTTCATTTTTGAGTCATCATCAGGCTATGATGTGAAGCCCTTGATCTCATATATAACTTCTGATGTACAACACATGGACAGCTCTGTACTGGACAGAGGAACAGAGAGGGAGCGTGAGGCTTCTGTTCAATTACAAAGCAGATCAAAGAGAGTAAAAAGGTGAGAGAATATGTCTAATAAGCCAAAAGGAAAAAGTGCACAGCACACATTTGTGTCCATATAGGCAGGTTCAGAAGGAGAATAGACTGCAGCAGAGTAATTTTAGCCAAACTTACAGACTTGTTCAATCTTGGATATCTCTCTGGTTGAAACCTTGACTTTTTGATGTCCCATTCTGCATGCTGGATTGAAATAGAGTGGATATAGTCCAAATATGATTATTATTCATTACAAACATTCACTTTCCCTTGAGTAGATTTTAAAGATATTGAAAGCATTGCACTGCCCTGCTGAAAAAAGGAGAGAATGAGACAAAAGCTTGTTGTCTCCTCAACACAAGAGATGAACTTATTCATCTTCCCATCTCTAACACTGAAATGTATTCAAATTGTATGTAGCAAATCATTTTCCTCTATTCATTACATACATGTTTGAAACGTATATATATATATATAAATGGCTTTCATGAGATATTAACTGCACGGTACTAGTTACAGTATATGATGGAGCCTGTGGTGGTGTACTGAGCTTTTTTTTTTTTTTTTTTAATAACAAACGTTTCAACCTGTTGGGCTGATTTCTTCAATACAGAGACGAGCCAAGGTTGCAGAGCAGTCGCTCATAAACGTGCTTTTGAGCAGGACGAGCTGAAAGCCAAAAGGCTGAGCGACTCCTGTGCCGATGGATGTGTGTGTGTGTGTGTGTGTGTGTGTGTGTGTGTGTGTGTGTGTGTGTGTGAGAGAGAGAGGAGGTGAAACGCTTCAGACACAATCGATAACTGAGGATGTGTGTGTATGTGTGTGTGTGTGTGTGTGTATCTCTGTATGTGTGCAGCAGCTACAGTAAGGGAAGAGCACTGACCTCCTGTATTATTAATTCAAGCAACATTAATAATACCTGTGTCTTACTCTTGGGAAACAAATGCACTCTATTGGTGACTACAATAGCATTTTAGTCATTCAAAATAATTTGAGGGAGGGACTGTAAAATATATCCACACAGCTCGAGTTTGTCTTTGAATCCTCGTGTTGTGACTCTTGACAGGCGCTGGTGTGAACAAGTCAACCTTCAACTATAGTCTCTGTATATTTTGGCATGGTTTAGAGCCTGAGAGTACAGCATGGAGACCTATTGTGACATATTTAAATATTCATAATCTTATATTTTTACATATTTCGGGGGGGGCATTGCTGCATTTGCCTGCGTTTCTCTCTCCTATAATTTGTAACTTCATGACAGATGTGGAAAGAGTGTAGCTCTGCCTTAAAAACCACACAGTCCTTCCATTTACATATCTGAAGGACTTTGTATATAACAGAGCTGTATGTTGAGCCTGGTATTTCATCCTCCCATAGGATCATGGTCAAGTACACCTTGTTAAAACGTCATGAGCGGGATGATCTTTCCTTTGTCTACACACCGAACAAGACAAAGCACTTAGTGTGCTCCGAAACATGTGGCAGCTTTTCAAGACAGCAGCTGTCACCTCTGACATCATTTCTGGAGCAGCGGACCTTTTTTTAGGTGGCAGTGTGCCCCGGTGTGCTCTGGGAAACAACTTTGGCAGATGAGATGGAGAATTTGAAGAAAGCAGACTCTTCCTTTCTCTTATAAAACAGATCAGCATGTTGTTTGCGTATGTGCGAAATGATTTGAAAATGTAGTTTTTGAAAAAAAAAATCTACCAGATGTCAGCATAGAAAATAGGATTTTCTTAATCAAAAACACACAAACTCACACATAATATAGCATTAAAGACACAGGACACAGGCACGTTGAAAATCTTACAATGTATATAATTGACACAAGATTTCAGGTACAACAGCAAATGAGACATTTGTATTTTTCAACCTCTTTCTGGCTTCTTTCTTAACCATAAGCACAAACTCTCCATAGATTTCTGTTAACAACAAAACCAAAGTAAATAAAAACAAGAAAATTAATTTCCTCTTAAATTGGCACCTTTAAGAAATTCCTCCCATGTTCAACTCAGTGTAGAGTAAAGCTGTCTTTAAATGGTGGGATAATCAGCTTTGCATATTTGGCGCCTGATGAGGACGGCAGGATTGAACTGCAGAAACTGATCAGAGATCAGAGACTCTGATGAACGTCCTCCTCGCCATCACACACACACACAAACACACACACACACAGGGGCTTTGTGTTTACACTGTTTGACCACAGCTGAATAGGAGACGTCTTGCTGGGCCGTTTCTATCTGCATACACACATCTCCAATCAATAGTCATTTCTGGAAGGTGTTGACTCAAGTTATCGATCAACTATCTTGTGATGTCTTTGTGCAGACAATGCCATTTATTGGCCTCATAAAAGTGCAGGTTTCATAAAAAGGGGTTGGGGACTTTGAGCAACAAATTCATGTGATCAAAAGGTGAATGATGAGAGAGAGAGAGAGAGAGAGAGAGAAAGGAGGGTGGGGTTTGGAGGGGGGGTTGTGCAAATTTCAGCCGATGACATTGTCAGGCAGTCATTGAAACTGAAGTTGTGAGTTACAAGTCGTCTTTGAATTGGAATGTCACCATAACAGTTGGAGTCACTTTTCATCATTTAGAGGGTTTAATGTGTACCTTCACATTCAGAGTCAGTTTTGTTTTAAAGGGTCCCAAGAAGAAGACCCACTTAGCGCTCTTGCTAATTGTTCTTTGCTCAAAATGTGTTTTTTTTTTTGTCCCGAATGGAACATCTAATGTCATCATGTGTCTGTTTTCTTTTTCAATCTTGACCCCAACTCTAGACAAAGTGTCAAAGGCAGTCACAGGCAGATTTTGTTACCAGGGACTAACAGGAAGACAGACACACACACGCGCGCGCGCACACACACACACACACGCACACACACACACACACACACACACAGCATTCATTAATAAAGCATGTCAAAAAAAACAAACAGAAAAATATCATAAAAAAAATCCTGTCGGGTAACAAATTTGACTCTAAATTGCCCCTTCTTCAGAGCAGTTATCAAGTTTCTAACAGATGTGCTTTGGAAACTTTGACAGACCCCCAAACTGTTAAATTGGATCTGCAGTATTATAAACGGACCTAAGATGAGTTATAGCGGATTGTCCCAGTGTGGAACTGAAGCAATGATGTACTTTAAAAAAGCATGTCCATTTATGTCCTCCATATCAAATTCCTCTGTCACATACATCACAGACGAGGAATTATTACAGTAGTAGGTTGAAAATCTGAACACTGAGCTATGCTAATATCCCGTCAGTCTGTCATACGATGTTAGTCCCCTACATTTCAATACATTTCATTTCTTTACCATCCAATGGAGATAGTAAAGGCTCTAAAGTCCACCCCATTTCCTCCAACTGAAGACTCACATTCAAACTCATTCACAAACACACACGGAAGCATCGTCCCACCGTCCTGCATGTTGCGTTCTCAAATGAATAAAAAAAAAAAAAAGGTACGCCTTTCCTCCGCAGCAAGCTTCTAATCAGGAAAAGCCTCACACTGTGTTCCCACAATCATTCCACAGTAAGTTTGACACGTAATGAAGCACTGTGTCATTGTCATATTGCCTTGCCATCATGTAGAAGCAGGAGGAACGCTTTAAAGGTCATTATAACTGATGAGAGGCAGAGAGAAAAGGTGGAGGGAGTGGAGGAGGGGGGTGGGACGAAAGAGGCACTAATATAGAAAAGCTGCAGAAAAAATGGAAGGCAGATATGGATACATTATGACAGATGACGAATGAAGTAAGAGTACTAAGTGTACGGCGATCCGGCTGTTAGAACATTTGATAGCTATTTTTTTCTAGGAAACAAAAAAATATATACACTTTTTGTGTCTGACATGGAAATAGAAGTAAAATTCAAAGACGTGCATGGTGTGGGTTTCTATCCTGATATGGATCATTGCTGCAATTAGACAAAAAATAATGACACTTCTCGTTGCAATTATGATGCTAATCACAGGAGCACTGGGCCTTTGCAGGGAGCACACTGAATGATGCGTGTATATTTTTTGCTCTATTGTGAGAATTAGAACTAAAGTAAAGCACTGCATGACAGCAGTGTTCCTGCGTCTGTGTTCATTTCTGTTCTTCTACACCTTTCCAAAATCCTCAACTGCAATCCATTGCTGCGAGAGCACAGTCTTAAACAGACCCCCCCCCCCCCCCCCCTACATGCGCCTCATGCAGAGCTCTATAGTGGGAAGCTGCTGTCATCTGAGACCTGGGCCCGGCCTAGAGTGTGTTTTGCAAACACTGAACTCTTGAGTTGATCCCCACACAGCCAGCAAGGCGTAGGGGAGAGAGAAAGAGGGATCTCTGCCTCAGCAGGGCGTCGATGTAGGGGTGAGTGGATGGATGGAGCAGACAGGTCATGTAACTCCTGCATTACATGATGATGTCAATGTGAATGTGGCCACGGTTATTAATACAGTTTACAGGATGATATTGCAAAAAGTGCTGACGTGGAGGGCTCTCATCCTCAGTGTAAGAGAGCGTGTAAGTGTGATCATATTAAGAGGTCTGCTGGGTTGTGTTGACAGATTATGCTCCTCTAAAAAAAAATCTTTTTCTTTTAGGCATTTGGTTTGTGCACTTTTTCTATCACTATCAGAGAGTGGGGTTTGTTGTTAGTTATTAATAAATAAATAATTCTACTTAATACAAGTGATTTTTTTTTTTTTTTTAAGGATTGAGATAACAAATATATGAATCTAAGTGCCACTGCAAAGCTCCATTCTCCCTCTACCCGTGGTGTCAACACCAACATACTGTTAACAATATAGTCTTACACATGTCTTAGGTACAGATATAATCTCAGAGAACCCAAACACCAGGGGAAAAAAAAAAACATAAGAAAATGCAAAAAGACCAGCTCTAGTCATAATATAGCGAGAAACAAAAGAAAAGAGCAAAACCGAAACATTTGTGAACACTCCATTTTGTTCCAAAAAAACAAAAGGAAGTCCATCCAAGTGATTTTTTTTGTTGTTGTTACTGTTTTCATTTGACTTATTTTCGTTTTGGCAAAGTAACTAACGCCCCCAGCTCCTCCTTCCTCCCTCTTTCAAACTCCGCCCCCCCACCTCCCATCCTCAACGTGTCCCAAACTCAGTCCCAGTTGGTAGAATCCCCGGTCAATTATCGCCGCAGCAGCAACATGAGAAGTGGAAGCAGGTAGATAGAGACGCAGGGGAGGCTCCGAGTGGCTGAGGCTTTCACCTCCTTGTTTTCAGGAAGGAAGGGGTAGAGTACCGGTCGGTCAGTGGCGGGGGCAACGATGCGTGGGCCCCGGGAACACATCTCGTCGGCACACGAGCCACTTCCTGAACCGCTGACGTCATCACCTTAAGACACAGAAGTTGGACATTAGTTGTAGGATATGCATAAAATAAACAAATGGTGTTGCTGAAAACTGTGCCAAATAATCAACATATTTATCTCACCACAACATACAAAATATGAGTTTGGATGTCGAGTTGCAAGCACAAAAAAACAACGAGAATTATATCTACAGTGAGATCCAGAGTTCCTGACATTATGAGGAATAAATATGACCTGAATTTAATCCTAAAGGCACTTTGATGGAGGCAAAACATTTTGATATCTTCATCTTCATTCAAACCTATTCACCATTCCGCTAGAGAGGCTTAAACTAAGACAGAAAATGTGCTGCCTCCTCAGAAGAACAGAGTTGTTTATGTCCTTTAATCTAGGACTTCTTAAAAGCTTTTAATCATCTCTGGATCCTCTGAGATGAAGTCACTGCTGAATGTTCACAAGAATCTTGGCTTTGATAAAAAGTTAAAGTGAACTCACTGGTGTCTTGAAAGTCCACATCCTGGCCGTTGAGAGCGTTCTTCAGGCGGTGCGTCATGATCTTCAGCTGCATTATCTGTTGCCGTATCGTCATGTCTGGCTTGGTGATGTCGATTTCCACCTCAGGGTTGTTGATCTGACTGGCGAGGCCATCACCGATCACCTCTGGAAGGTACCTGCCACACATGAACACTTGTGCTTGAATCCTGATCATCTCTTTACAGATCATTGGATGCTATGCAGTTTTGAACAAACAGTCTCCGCTGCAGGTAATGGCAGCAAAGATTGTAAACTATAACACTGAATTTCCCTTATTTGTCAGAATGCTGTGAAATCAGTTGCTTGAAAGACTTCATTAGGTGACAAAGCAGAAAATGGTGGACTGTAACATTATTAACAGGAAAAACATATATAAAAAAACATTAAAAAGCTTTTTAATTACATGTAAAAGATAAGAAAAAAAAAAGATTTTACAACTTAAATACAAAAAGTGAGCATTTCATAATGAAGTAAATGACTTTAATCCATTCTAATTAAAAGCCAGATTAAAGAGTTTAACGTTCAATGATCTGAATTCAATAAATGAAAGAAGCATAAACATCCCCCCACTTTTTGTTCTGTGCATTCAGCTGCTGCTCCTTTCATGAAGCCATCTCTTCTACTTGAGTAGTTCGATAGCATCTGTCTGGAGATTTGTACCACTAGCAGGGTTTCTTAATGCGTCACATATTAAAACTGCATGATGGACACTGCAATATCTATTTCATGTTCAAAGAACATCTGCAGCCTTTACTCCTGTTCATCTGAAGTGAGATATTATGAAATGTATTATTTCAATGCTTATTTGCTTAAATATGAAGATCATACCAGTTGTATTGTACTTGATTGTAAGCATGTCAACTATTTATTTTGAAAGGCATTTCTGTGTAGGTTGATGTTCCCTACCTGGCACGGCTCATGCCGTTCCAGCATTTGTCCTCAGCCCCTGTTCCTGTGGCCACTCTGTCGCTGCAGAGGACACTCGGGAGAGAAACCCAGTACGGCTGCATGTCCCTCAGTCTTATTGTCACATCAGACACCTGGGAAAGAGTTTGACAAGAGCAGATTCAGAAGCTTTTAAACTTTGTGTAACATCATGAGTGATCATTCAAACGGGAAAGTCAGAAAAAGTCCCGTGTCTTCAATAACTGAATGCAGGGCTCATTTATCTGACCCATCCATGCACCCAAGCATTCATTCAAACCCAATCACCCCATAGAGGTCTGTGGAAAGGGGAAATGAGCAGCTAAAGCAGTTTAACAAACCATGTTGAGCAATGGTTCCTGCATCATAAAGCACCACTTATTAGATCATCAGAGAGCAATAACAAGGATACATTTGAGGTAAATACTAACCAGTCTGCCCATTTTGCTGGAGCTGGATGCCAGTTTGTCCTCCACTGTGACCTTTCCTCTCTTCAGGATTTCATCGACTCCTGTGCTGCTGGTTGCTCCTTCTCTGAGGTTGCCACATGCCTGGAACAACTGGGGCAGGAGGGAGAGGAGAACACTCGTGAAACAGAATGTAGAGAGGAGGAGAGGTCACCAAAAGGACAAACCAGTTCTCTACTTAAAAATGTTTTAATTTCAATCAGCTTCCCAATCACTGCAAGGATCCAAACAGATCCCAAAGTTCTTTCTCAACAACTGGTAACTTACCTTATAAGGCTTCAGACTCCCTCTATAAACCTCATCTTCATAGCATGTGTATTTTATACTAACACTCTTTATAGGTGTAAGTGTAAACAAACAAGACTAAAATCTCACACTTGACCGAGCTCTGTAAATAAATTCTCAAAGACCCATTCTCAAACTGCATCAGCAAGAAAACATTCTGCATTGGCTGGTCAAATTGTAAGTCTATAAGCACACAGAGAAGCCTTAAGCATATTACTGCACACAAATCTCTACCTTAGAAAACCAACAATGACAAGTGGAACTGCTTGACCCCAAGAGTCAATCACTGCATTGCTGCAGCAAATGAGCCACAGCTCAGAAGGCACTACTCGTCCCTACGAGGCTTACATTTTATAAATGGAGCCCAGGGAATACAGTTAGACTGCAGTCAATCTGTCATCCAATCTGTCCTGCTTAGAGGAGCCTCAAGCCTTTGAACCTTTATCTGAAACTATAAAATAATCCTGTCTTAAGCTTGCACTCGTGTCCGTCAGCAGAACATGTACGAGTTGTTTGGTGCACAGCACATTAAATAATGCACATAAATAATATGGTGTTGACTCTTGTTTTTGCAGCACATGGTGCTACATAGCCCTACAGCACTTTTAATTATGCATACTGCAGTTTCTCTCTCTGTATCTGCTGAGTCTTTGTGGATAAAAATGACATAACTAAACATATGCTTTGATGTTAACAGATTATGTAAATAGGGGATAATCTATCCTACACTGTCGACCCTGATATTATACCACAGACACCATTGACTTCTATGGGATCAGCACAGCTCGTCACTCTGCAGACGAAGATCAGAAGTTGAAGCTGCATGTCATCATCGTTCTGAAGCAGGTTCGAGGCAGGCATGGTTCACATAAAGCCAGCCAAGCTCTTTAACAGCAAACCGACACAGAGGAAGCCTTGTCTGTTCTCTCACCGTCTGCACTTTTTTCCACCTTAACCAAACAACTTTAAGGATCAAATAAAACTCTGGCTCGAACACCAATAAAGAGTGAAGTAAATGCTTGGCTTGCAGGTTCTGTCATGACTCACAAGCTGTTTTATTTTAAACTAGGTGTGTTAGGCTTTGCAAATACATTATCTAATGGTGCAAAAGGTGTTAATTGTACAAACTAATAAATGGTAAGTAAATAAGGCGCATACAAAGACCTGAGATCTGTTTACACATTAAACATTCTTGACTTCCTTGCTTCTATTCCTTTGCTGAACCAGATGATATGAACACTTTAAAGCTCAGAAAGGCTGGTTTCAAATCTGTATTATTTGTCTATAACATAAAATATTCATGACCAAATACGCAACAAGCAGCTAATCTGCTTCAGAGGGATTATGTGGGTGTGCTTTGAACTGATTTGACTGACAGCTGACTGACTACATTTAGCACAGAATTTCAAAAATATACACTTTCATAGAGATATGTTTTCAAGTTGAACTTTTACTGACTCCCCACAAGAAGAGAAAAGGAGACTGCACTTATTTAAGTCAAACCAGAGGGTTACAGCGTGTGCCATGAAGCTCATGGACCGGCTGATGTTTTGAAAGAAAGTGAATCTTTTCAAAACTTTTAATTGTTCTGCAATGACTTGAGAAAAATGTGACAAAGATATGATCTTCCACTAACATGTCATCTCACAGTACATTATTGTTCTCTCAGTGGAAGATAGTGTAACATAATCCATTAGTGCATAGTCACAGTGATATGAGATTCTGCAGCTAATAATTTAACTATTTTGTATTACAAGTTTTTTGACGAAATAACACAGCAAGCCGTATTCTCAACTCCATATTTACATTTTCAGCGAATTATGTTTTTTCCTTCTACTTTCTGAGGAAGTAAAGACTGAATTGTCAGATTTGTTTTATGTTGGCATGATATTCATTCATTGATTGTAATTTGGACAGACCACCCAGACATTTATAGTTGCTTTTTGAGTAAGGGGCAGGCAAAACAAAAATTATTCTTATCCCTGCTCCTTTCCGTACATGGGATAAAGTGTGAATTGTTTTTTTTTTCTTTGTCCTTTTCTGTTGTGTGTTTTGACATGTACGGAACAATTAAAAAAAAAAAAAAAAAAAAAAAAAAATATATATATATATATATATATATATATATATATATATATATATATATATATATATATATATATATATATAGATTTTGTTTGGTCAGTGCTGATAAAATAATTGACAAAAGGACACATTAGGTTTTTTAATTTATGCTTGCAGCACTTTTGTTCAGTGCACAAATCAATTCAATGTTGTTTTAATGATCTATTAGTCATATTCGTTCTTAGTAAAACAGTTTGTCTAGTTTATTCAACTGTATGTATGAACCGATGTATGCTCTGACCTTGCTGTTGATGGTCTCTATATTCTCCATCATGGTATACATGGCTTCTGATATGCGAGAGGGAAGAGAGACGACCACAGTCTCCACACCAGACGGGCCATCAAAGCGTCCAGCTACCTGCATCATAGTTTCTACAAAGACAGGAAACACAGTCAGCATTCAGAAAGTGTTAGAGGGTTAATAAGAAGTGCATTGGCTAAAATAAAACCTGAAATATTCAGAGCACAGGGTAGCACCATGTGCTGGTTGAACATTTGAGAAAGCATATGGCTAAATCGGATGCACGTGTGGATGTGTGTGTGTGTGCTGCCCACCTGCCAGATGCCTCCACTCTGTGTTGAGGTCAGCCTGGTTTGCCAGACAGCCCTTCATGACGTTGCTGCAGTAGTTGGCACAAGGTCTGGCAGAGGCCATGCTGCGGCAGTGGGGGCAATAAGTCATCCTCATCATGGCCCGCATGCACTCCTGGCTCAGCTGCACCTGGGGTCAGACAAAAATAAACATCCGACACCTGGATGAAAAATGACCGTTTCACCAAGCATACATGATGTAAAAAATGTCCACTTGACCCCTTTAACTATAAGAAGCACTGATGCTAATGTACAGGATAACGTACATTTTACCAAAGTGTAATGTGAAGACAGAAATGTCTTCAGCCAGACAATGACAGTGGTCAAACGTGGGAGGTCACCTCCCATGGAGACCTTTTTTTTTTTTTTGCACCAGACTTTCCTTGAGCACAGTTTCCTTGGAAACCACTTTGGGAGAATTCTCGATTTGTTTTAAATGCGATGAAAAGGGCCTGACATTCATACAAGTATTCAGAGTCCCTCACTCTACCCTTCCCACCTCTTCTATTTCCCTCTCTCTCTCTCCCACAAGGCTGCTCCCCCAGGAAAGGGCCTTGGTGCGTGAAAAGTGAAACTGGGTTAATACCAGTAAGCTCTGTTCACAAGAGAGTACAGCTATGCATACAAAACCTCAGGAAGTGTGTGAGAAAGACAGAGAGAGAGAATTTGCGCATGTGTGTGTGTGTGTGTCTGTGTAACAGAGAGAGAGACAGAGAGAGAGAGAGGGAGAATTCATGCATGTGTGCGTGTGCGTGAGTGTGTGTGTGTGTGTGTGTGTGTGTGTGTGTGCGTGTGCGTGTGCGTGTGCGTGTGCGTGTGCGTGTGTGTGTGTGTGTGTATGTGACAGAGAAAGAGAGAGGTGGAACAAGCCCAGCTACGCATACAAAGCTCCTCTAAGCTGACATCTGGGCCAGCTTCATGCTTTTCCTGGAAACTGTTCTTCCAACAGCAAAGACACAGTTAAATCCAGCTTTTAACAAATATACAGTGCAAATAGGACAACAAAAGGATTCAGGTGGGAAAATAAATCAAAGAAGCTTTGAAACTCTTACTTCAAGTTATTTCAGTCGTTTTGTCCAAGTGAAGTCTGGTTGGCATATTTTAACTTCAATGTGATCGATTAACAGATAATAGCCTTGGTAAGTATAATCATTTACTACAGCAGCTTCTTTTTGTCCTTTATGGTTCCATTAATGTGTAAATCTCAGATTTGTATCCTTGTTATTTAAATACATGTATTACCATATTTCACTATTGTCATCTACACTTTCACAGTTTAAAGGAATCATTTCATCAGTTGAAATTGATTTTTTTTTAAAACTTTTTAATAACCTTCACTGTTTTCCGCTTCTTGCCTTTTTTCCTTGGCAGCATTCAGTAACTATTTATGGGTGTAGCTTCCTTCATTTCCCCACAAGGATCATAAAAGTATAAACCAATTATTGATCCACAAAAGTGAGCCACAAAAACAAGTGAAGGAAAAGTAACTTATTTTGACAAAGTTAACAGTTAATGGAGCTGCATAAAGAAATACTTAAATGGCTTAAGTTAGTTAAAAGATCCCTGATGTATAAAATGAGATCAACAGAATTAAGTGATTGTTGCCAGAAGCAAAGTGAAAACAGAATCAAGTGAGGTGACAGAGAAAAGCAATAACCACATTCCCAGGCTTAATCTCAAGTCATATGAGACATGAGTCAGATCTCCACTCCTGCCCTCTTTTCTCCACTCCCTCTGGCCTTGCCCTATCACGCATTAGCCCGAGATGACTCAGTTTGAGTCAGACTGTTTCTTTTTAGTGAGAGAGAGGGAGTAAGAGAAGGGAGTCTGCTGGGATGAGTGGAGGAAAAGACTGGGAATAAGGGGATATAGGGGGGATGTTAGGAAAGCTGCGAGATTCACTCAGAGGCGTTGGAAGGGGAGTTAGAAAAACAAAAAAAAAAACACATGGTGATGTTAGTGAAATACTTATTAAGAACAGACAGCCATTAACCTAGTGTGTGTTATATCATCCATCCTTCAGGATTAATGCTGGGGATCACAGGCCGGGCAAAGCAGACATGAAACAGTGTGTAACTTCTCCGTGGTGCTAATTGGAAGTCCATGTTGACAACTTCCTCTGTAACCTTGGAGCTGCGGTGAACCGAGGGGCTGTGAGAGAGGGGCCGTCACCCTAGAAACAGTAATAAGACTCAACAGATGAATGGCTGAAAATAAGGACCATGTAAAGATGATTTATCTGAAAAGAAGGGGGAAAATCCAATATTCTCAAACTATGACTTCTAAGCCACCCAAAAATTCAATTGATAGCCATAAAACAGGAAACTATGAGCAAATGTACACATATGCATATACACAATTTGCAGGTGAGACTCTATGACAAAACTGTGCTGCAATTAAACACCTATTCTCTGACTTGTCCTTGATTCACCTTCACAATATGCTCCCTGTACCTGTATACCTTCTGTACAGTATATGTTGCCCGCAGCCATCATGCATAAGTCTCTCTCTCTGTGCCTGTCTCTCCCCTGTAATTAGTAAGGATATATGAGCAACCTCTCCCCCATGTGTTACACAGTGAGCCAATCCAGACTCCTCGCCTCCAGAGTGAGCTATGTGGCGCGTGGCCTACTTCCTCCACTCCCATTCCCCAGGGATTAAAACAGGCCAGAAAAAGTTAAGGACACAGCAACTGGTGCAGCCCGGAGCGACGTAAGGGAGGAATTATTATGGTACCACAAAGACAGACTGAATCTGAATGTTGAGATCACTTTTTCTGTCATATAAACGTCTCAGCGTTTTTTTTTTCCAAGCGCCTTTGGTCTCTGCTCTTCTCTGCTGTAAACTCAGCCTCCCTTCTGCTCTTTCATCACCTTTCAGCACCTACGTTTCGTAGCTTATTCAACTCAAACATAGCAAGGATTCATGCCATGTTTCTTCTAAGATGGCAGCAAACACAGACTTCGTTGGAATATATTTTGAGTACACATACACAAACAGAAAGAGATCCGCTTCTTCCTATAAAGTTTTCACTCAAGCTGTGTAACAGCCTGGGGTAAACATCCTCAGTCACAGGGCCCTTTAAGTAGCGATACATAGCTATAAATAGGAGCGGTTGTCTCATTAAGGCCGAATGCATCGCAGATAGAATTACAGAGGAAAGGAGGGGAATGCTACAATATGAATTAGGATACAGAGCAATTCACTCTTAAAGGAGCTAGAGGACAAAGCAGGGCGCAGCTCATGGAAATATCAACATAAATGTTTCAGAACGATTTGCAGGGGAGGAACAGAGAATGAATGATTGAGAGAGTAAGAAAGAATACTGTTTGTAACAGTCTTTTGTTTCAATCCTCTCTCACTTTTCTTTCTGTCTCATTTTTTTCCCATCCGAGTGAAGTCCTCTTCCAATCTGCATAAATTCAACACAGTGCTGATTCTGTGCTGGGGAGGACAGGCAAACAGCCTGACAGACAAATTATGGATATGAAATTGAACAACTGGTGGAAGTCTGTACTTCTTTCATATTATACCAAACAGGGCTTGACTTGGATGATTTCAATACAATAGAGACGTTTTGTCTTCTCCTTCATTTACTCCTAACTCTGTACCTAGCTTTGAATTACCACTTTACATAGATCCATAATTTTTGTCCGTAGTTATTTTTCTCATAAAGCAGAATGCTATTGAGTTCCCTCTAAAGACTTTTGATGACTCTTCATCTAAAAATGGCTTCATTCAGAGAGGCTCCAGTGGCATGGCATTATCACTCGGATGACATTTTGTGTTATTGTAAAAGCTATGCTAATTATTTCAACATTCTCCATGACCAGCCATGTTTAATGAACGCATCACTCACTGTCCTTTGGCACAACAAAATACGTACATTTCTATTAACAGATATCCACACAGGGGAAATGTAAATCTCTGTTAGAGGGGAAGAATTGAAGGATAAGACCTGAGTCTGTACCTTTAAGTAATTTTGAACTCCATTGTGTCTATGATTTTTTTTTTTGTCTGAATGGGTTGTAAACTATTCTGGCTGATTCAGGGCCTATGTTGCGCAAATCAAAAAAAGATGCTAATTCTGCTACTTAGAGCCCTCTTGTCATGTCTCTAATTCAGCTCGACTAGTTCCATGATCCGTGTAGCTCCATGTGAAGCAGTTTTACTTGTCACTGTCACTGTCTGTGTCTTGTTATCCACTAGCTAGCTGCTACTCCAGACGATCTGTCTTCATGGTTACCCTTATTTTACTCCCCTGCGGCTATGGATGTGCTTAGCTTCACTGCGCTCGTGTGCTAATTGAGACATCCTCAGGTTCCTTTGTCTAGCTGTGACACATTCTGGGCCAAAGAGCCACCTGCTAACCCAGGTTGTCTACAGACCAGTGCTACAGACCCCCCCCCCCCACCCCCACCCCGAATGGGTTACAACTCATACCTCAAAGTACAAGAAAAAGGGATCACATAGATTCTTACCTTGACTTGTATATGAATGTGTGGTTATGCATTCACGTCACGGTTTATTTTGTCATGCTACTGCTTTTTCGTCTCTTATGCTTTATCTTTTCATGCTTACACACAGCCTAACCTTGTAATATTTCACCTAGGGAAAAAATGTAATATTCATCTCCATGGTGCAGCATCTGTTTTGTCAAAGGATGCGTATATTTCTCACAGGTCCACTGCTCTCAGCACTCTTCTCGCACAGTGTCTGATGGGAGGTATTTTTCACTGCTGCATCAATACCGGCCACCTCGCTTTCAGGAGCTGATTTGATTTCTCAGTCTTGCTCTGATCTTAACCTTACTCTTGTCTTAGACACAGAGGGGACCATTCCTCATGGGAGATATTAACCCTCCCCACGGCCTAGGGAGACATATTTCACGAGGTGCTGACATTAACTGTTGTTGCCGGGGCTGATTGTCTGAGCCGCAGGCCATGCTTTATGGAGCTTCTCGTTCCCTGCAACATTGATCTGCCACCGCTTTATGCTGTGTGCACAGACAGGTTGAAACAGACCTGTGTGAATGTGTGTGTGCTCTCAGGTGTTTGTACAGAGATGAATACACCTTAACCAAGGATAGCAGCAAGGAATATTAGCTTTACTGCAGATTAGACACCAATATAAAGGAATGTTGGGCAGTTAGTTGCTTCTACCAAAAGCAATATTAGTTCCCAGTATTGGCAGTCAGAAAAAAGAGGTTATATTATAAAAGGAAAGATGCTTATTACAATTATGTAATTATGTAATTATGTAATGTAATACAAAATAAAACAGGCATCAAAAGGGCTGAGAAACATTAGCGAAAACAGGCAGAGGATGACAAGGGAGGATTTACCTGGGACACCTTTCGCACCACCTCCCCACTGACCACCAGCCCCTGGACAAAGGAGCGTGCTGCCACAAATGTGCGCGTGACCATCGTCTTCATCACACGGGGCGTGTCTCCGAAGGGCCGTAGTGTCTCTATCTGCTTAGACACACACTCAAGGTAGTCCTCGCCTGCAATCAGCATACACATTCACTATAATAATGCATTCAAAAGTTAGGGTTCAACAGTTTCATGTTTTGCTCCTTTGTCTCGTGTTTATATTTTAGAGAAAGAAGATGGATTTACTTATGAAATATTGCTTGTTTGCCTGGTAGAAAAGCTTCTCCAGCAGCTTGGCCCAGAATTCATTGAGCACCTCTTCCAGGTTGACATTAGATCCTCTGTAGTAGTTTTTTATATCCGTGTACAGGTCCGAGAAGACCTGTGAATTCTGGGAGTATAAGGACCCCCATGATGGAGTGAAAGTCTCCTGAAGACTAATTGCTGAATGGTTTAGCAACTCCAGGAAGTGACCTAAAAACAAATACAGAAATGAAATGGTTAGAAATGAATACCTTTCAGTCATATTTACATGATAAAGTAGTCCATGTATTGGTGATATTTTGTTTTCTCCATGGTCAACATTATTATCCTCATCAGTTGTAAAAGTAGTTTTTCGTACTCAAAAACAGAAATATGTGATGACGTTTTTTTGATGCTGCACACACCAACGCTGCCTCATATTGTCAGTCAACCTAAAGCTTAAATATGTGAGAGCGTCCCACTGGGGGATGTCAGATATTTGACAGCGCTTCAGGGTGCAGTATATACTGCTCCAAGTGAGGATTTACAGATATAGGGTACAGGCAGAGACAGGCTGTAAGTCAGGCAGACAGACAGACAGACAGACACACAGACAGACACACAGACAGACACACAGACAGACAGACAGACACACAGACACACAGACAGACAGACAGACAGACAGACAGACAGACAGACAGACAGACACACACACAGACAGACAGACACACACACAGAGACAGACAGACAGACAGACACACACACAGACAGACAGACAGACAGACAGACAGACAGACAGACAGACACACAGACAGACACACACACACACACACAGACAGACAGACAGACAGACAGACACACAGACAGACAGACAGACAGACAGACACACAGACGGACAGACAGACAGACAGACAGACAGACAGACAGACAGACACACACACACACACACACACACACACAGACAGACAGACAGACAGACAGACAGACAGACACACAGACAGACACACAGACGGACAGACAGACAGACAGACAGACAGACAGACAGACAGACAGACAGACAGACAGACAGACAGACAGACAGACAGACAGACAGACAGACACACACACAGACAGACAGACAGACAGACAGACACAGACAGACAGACAGACAGACAGACAGACAGACACACAGACACAGACAGACAGACAGACAGACACACAGACGGACAGACAGACAGACAGACAGACACACAGACACACAGACAGACAGACAGACAGACAGACAGACAGACAGACAGACAGACAGACAGACAGACACACAGACAGACACACAGACAGACAGACAGACAGACAGGATTTCCAGTGCTTAGGGAAAATCTGCATCTGCTGTTTCCTATACTGATGTTCTCATGCTTTGTCCACTCTATTTATATGTATGAGGGGAACACAATATAATACACAACAATATTCTGTGAATATAATGGAATCGAACACAATTACACTTACCTATAGCCTTAAGAAAAAAACAACCCAGAGTCTAGAAAAATATATTTAAAGCAAGACTCTTGATTGCATTGCACTGATTGGGCAGCTGTAGCTAAAACCAATGACACATTTTCTTCTATTTTCTGTATTAACATTGTTTATAAATGAGGACACTGTTCTGCCAGGAAAATCTATCCATCCATCCTTACTTCAATCATCCATTCACAATCGATCCATTCCTCCATCCATTTACCTATTTCATCCCATCTATTGTTACATCCAGCTATCCACCCCTCCATCTATTGATCCAATTGCTATCCATCGCTCCATCCATCTTTACCTTTGTCAATCAGTCCATCCATCTATTTATCCATCCATCCATCAATCAATTCATTCATTTGTCAATCTGTCCATCCATTTATCCATCCATCCTTTAATCCATCCATTCTTCAACCCATCCTTTCATCCATCCGTCTATTCATCGGTGCTAATCAAACTGTCCTTTCATTCATCCATTTGCAAATACATCCATCCATCCATCCATCCATCCATCCATCCACCAGCCCAAGTTAGTAGCAGACGAGAGATGGGAAAGTTATGGACTCCACATGTGTCACCCTTACTGGAGATAGCTTAATGCCCTAACAAAGCTTTAAAAAAATACAAAAACAACCCATAAAGACATGCACAAAAATCCACCACACACACATGGACAAAATGTTGAAACACCACATATTAAAAAGGTTACCCTGAAGACAACATATGGAAACCCCAAGTCAAATTACAGCAGCGAAGGTCCAACACCCACATGTGCAGGGCCTGAAGACAAACACAGTACTTGGAGTTACATAACATGTTAATATGCTAAGCTCATCCTGACCCATCTGCCTGGCATTATCTAAGCAGTGGCCTTGGTGAATACTGTGTCTGTGCTCTGCTTTCCCACTCATTAATAAACACCCGCCAGTGCGCTTCAACTCTGTTGTCTTCTGGCATTTTCACACACACAGGTCTACTTTCAGACGTGTTGAGTTGAAGGGACTTATTTTTAATTCCACCAGCAGACAGACTTTCGCAGACTTACTGTAAATCATATTCTTGCTTTTTGCTACATTTAAGGGTCATTCAGTGCTTAGTGACTGCTTCAAAAGTATATCTGAAAAAAGTCACCTCAGTCATCTTGAAGAGATCAAGGATTTCAAGTTCCATCAAGCAGTGGTTTCGTTTTGAAAAAGCTTTATATCCTGACACATCAGGTTGCTTTCCTTCTCCTACAAACACATTCTGTTAATGCCAAGACCAGTTATTGCCCTTTGGTGCTTCCTTCAGTTGGGTTCATGCCCAGAATCATACATTACATTATTTCTAAAACAGTTACGTAATGTCGTTTAAAAGCCTTTTGATACTTACTCACATTCAAAACATATACAGTGAGCTTTGAGCAGAAATATGGAATTCTAAAGGGTGCCCAAAAAGTTAATATTTTGCTTAATTGTGCTTCAACCTGTCAGCCTAAGTTTGACAAAAGCAAATACATTCTTAATTCCTAATTTAACTTTAAAATTAAAATGCCTCAAATATAAATTATTTGGGGGTTTTCATTAACTTACTACATCTGCAAATTGTTTTTTTAAACTCTGTGGATAAACAAATCAAAGCATGCAACTCTGTGGTGTTTAGCCCTACTTTAAGATGACAAGCACAGTGCAGGACCCAGTTAGAATTGTGTGCTTATAAATAAATAAGGGTAGAGGCAAAAAAGTCCATTCCCCAAAGGCAATAAAGTTTGATGCGAAAGTTTATAAAAATGCAGAGAAAACATTCCACATAAATGTCTTATTATAGCAACCTAAGGCAGAGCACAGTGCAATTTGTAACTTAATGAATAAATGCAGTCTTGAGTCAACAGTGACGCACTATATTTTTTTCGAGATTATTACGCTTGGTGAGATAACGGCTTCTGACAAGCAGCGGCCGTATGTCCACGATTGTTTAGTAGTGAGACCGGCGTGCTGGATGACACATCATCCCCTTGTTCCCTGACCTCCTGTCACTCAAACTATCTCTGAACACAGCCCTGGGCATGCCTTGAAGTACCAGGAGAGCTGCAGATATGTCAATCACACAGGCACGAGCATGTTTGCGTACCAACACACGTAACCATGCTTTCATGAGTCAGTAGAAAGGCACGTGCACATCGAGACAAACTTCAAAGTGACAGCACATTCACATGTACACCGATACACACAAAATCAGAGCCCTGCACCAAATAACACACACGCACGCACGCACGCACACACACACACACACACACACACACACACACACACACACACACACACACACACACACACACACACACACACACACACACACACACACACACACACACACACACACACACACACACTATCCTACAAAAAGCTAGACAGACTGGGAGCGGCTGTGACAGGTGCAGCTTTGCTTTTAATCCACATTAGAATTCATTCTGCTGTGTACTGTCAGCCATACTGTGAAAAGGCCTGAAGTCGGGTCAGGCCGAAGGGGTTTTAACGAAAAAAAAGTTCTATTTTGGTGGAGGTAAGAAGTTGTTTACTGCATGAAATGAATGATTAACTTTGCTTTAAACAACATTTCTAATGTTATTGGGCCATGTTTGTTTTTATGTGTGCTAAGGGATCATCACACGTAGAGGGCATATCTTGGTAAATGGCATTACCCTGTCCGATTCTCCTCTGCCCTTCAGCGAAGTGAATAATGACGATCATTAGTACGATACAAAGCCCCTGTGCGTGTGTGTGCTCATGTGGTTTTCTGTGTGGAGATGACCTTTCTTATTTTTGCTCATCTGTTGGTGTCTCCATGAAACAAGAAGCCACATATCTTATTTCAGCCTTCCATCTTTTTACTCTTCCCCCCTCAATCCTCTCATCATCCCTGAAAATCTCACCTCTATCCACTCTTCCCCTCCAGTGTTTGCTCTCAGAGCAACAAGTGATGGGAGAGTGCACCTATTTGCTCTATCCCAGCCAATTGTGTGTGGAGGGGACAAAGAATGGACAAAAAGTAGTTGGGACTTCACTGCAGAACTGATGCATACTATAGTTGTAGGTTTATACCATGTGTTTACATGTAGAATTAGAACTAATCCAGAATATAAATTTGACAATTCATATTTTTTCCCTGTAGCCAATAATGCCAACAAAAGAGTCCTGTCTTGAAAGTTCAGTTACTATAGCGTCAGGTAACTTAACCTGAATATTTGATCGAATCATTTCAAACAATTTCTGTGACTTGTGTATAAATGTTAGCTATGACTAACTTATTCAATGCTACAGTTTTTTTTACAGTATATTTTCCTCCAGTTGTGAGGTGAGTGCCAAAAAGTATAAAATATAATATCAGCAGCAGAGAATGTGTTCAGGAGGTATTTTAAAGCTATGGGTTATAGCCTGGACTAGAATTTAAAGAAATTATGAAAGAGAATTGTCCAGATTATGAAATCCTTTATCTTTCAACAAACCACACCAGAATGATTATACGTTGAATAGTCAACAGAGTAGGACAGAGCGGAATCTAATCTTATTGTGTTTCAAGTGGATTCATATTGTAAATTTAAGATATTATCATAACATACTTTAAAAAACGTCTGTTACCCATTTTACCGCTTTAAGGCCACAAAGTTTGTTTCATGTATTGCAAAACAGTGTCACATTGTTCTTTGTTTTTCCAGTTTTAGATGTGATGTGGCAATATTTTTTAGTACA